GGTGTTAATGCTAAAGTCATTGCTATGGTGACAATTCTAGATATAATGGATATTGAGATATGCTCTCCAAACAAGAGTTGCTGGGTTGCATTTCCCAAAAGCATAGCCAACTATGGTCGCAAGTTCTGTTGAATTGTGTTGTTAACCATAGTTGGCTTCGGGAAACGCACCCCAGATTTCATCAGTTGCAGAAGGACAGAGTGGATTGTCAGAGTTACAGATCAGATTGGAAAACCAATTCAGTATTGAATATGCAGAACTTGATTTCACCAAATGCAACATGTTCCTAGATCGACATCTTTGTTGATCCTGGAACAACATTCCAATCAACCAATCAGATTTGAGGGACAAGTTTTTTATGTCAAGTTTAGGTTTACAACCAAGGTTAGGTGCCTAACATAATACATTGGTGTTTTCCCTCTGATTTTAGGGATCAGTTCGGGTTAGGTTTAGGGCTAGGGATATGGTTAGGATTCAATTTACGGACCGAAATGTTGTTCCAGGATCATATCAATATGTTGACCCAGGAACGTGTCTAACTCGGCAAAATCAGGACTGCATTGAATATATGTGCCTAACCTTTCAAGCCTAAACATTTGTGGTTAAAGAGGATGTGGTTAAAAAGCACGCCATATCCACCTTTCACTTCGCACAGAATAATCCACAGGTGCTAAATTACAGAACCTAAAAATACATATGCAAATACCCTATTTAAAAGAGCCAATCATCTTAAATGTAAGTGTGTAAAGTCCAAACCCACTCAGTGTTTTACTCCTTCCTTTTCTTACAAACATATGCAATCTCTCTCTTTATCCATCTCTCGCTCTTTCCCTCAATCAAACACTGGTACAGAAATAGCCCTAACGGTATAGTGACAGCTGAGGTGTCAAATCTAAACTGTTGCTATGGAAAAGGGGAAGAGAACATATTTTACTGCCATTATGCCACCAAATTAATGAGCATAGAATAGCATTGCCATAGGTTAAAGTACCAGCAGTACCATGTTAACAGAGCTTAATAGCACAGAAGGAGCTATAATTAGAGCTCGAAAGAGCAGAATTGTTTCAAAATTAGAGCTCTTGATTAAATGTGCAAAGTTGCTCTTGAAAGTGGAAAATGCACATTTGAATAGCAAATGCGAACATCTGCAATGCTAATTAGCTGGTAGCCAAAATAAGGGAGACCAGGGCTCCAGACTAACTTTTCCACTGGTTGCACTGGTGCTACCAACTTTCTCAGTTGGTCGCACCAGCATATGATTTGGTCGCACCTTTTTTCTGCCATGGGATTAATCAATGCATGCTGATGAATAGTGGTTTTAATGGACCAAGGCTAGCAAAGGCTTTCTGGGTTGCAGCATAAATACCTGTAATATATTAATTATCATTGCCAAAATTCAGGATTTTCATGGATTTTGGACAGTAATTTTAATCTGTAATTTTAAGCATTTTACATTTGAATTATATACAATCTATCTATTTACATTTGAATCATATTCTATCTATCTATCTATCTATCTATCTATCTATCTATCTATCTATCTATCTATCTATCTATCTATCTATCTATCTATCTATCTATCTATCTATCTATCTATCTATCTATCTATCTATCTATCTATCTGTCTATTATCATCTTTCTATCTTTTAAAAATCATTAAACATTCAAATGTATGCATTACATTTTAAAAGATTAGAGTATTATAATAAACTGATACAGATTTTTCGTTATTAAAGTTTATAGTTGTAACAAAAAGCAGAAATCTCACACTCCTTACCTTCTGCATTTTATAATAATTTCCTTTTCCTCTGTCGAGCGATCATGAGAGTAATCGCTCGACAGAGGAAAATATAACCGCTGAAAAGATGTAGGAGGAAGGGGCTCTGTGTTTACTTTCGTGAGACCATTTTTATCATTTTTATATGCCTTAATTCGTGAATTCGTAATGCGCGTGACGTGTACGTTCGTCAATAAATAAACTGCACGTGTCTTGCGAAAGAACATTGTAGACGGAACTGCTCTCCGTTAATGTCTATGGCAAGTCTATGGGCGAGTCACGCAGGCACTGGGCTACTCCGCAGCCGAGACGAGCCCGGGATAAAATAGTCCGAATATAAACTCGTATTATAGGCGTACCGTACACTGTAAAAAATTCACCCGTATATTTACAGTAAAGAACTGGCAGCTGTGGTTCCAGCCCTTTACCGTAATTTTACGGTTTCAACAATGCTGTAATTTTACAGTAAAGAACTGGCAGCTGTGGTTCCAGCCCTTTACCGTAATTTTACGGTTTCAACAATGCTGTAATTTTACAGTAAAGTACTGGCAGCTGTGGTTCCAGCCCTTTACCGTAATTTTACGGTTTCAACAATGCTGTAATTTCACAGTAAAGTACTGGCAGCTGTGGTTCCAGCCCTTTACCGTAATTTTACAGTTTTTAATTTTAAGGCTGTGCTGTAATTTCACAAAGTACTGGCAGCATAAAGTTAGAATATAAATACTGTTTTTTATTGACTCTATTGTCTGATATCTATTAACATCCCTATATGTAGCATAATGTATACAGACATTCCAAACAGACTTTTTACTCAATGGAAAAAATAAAGACAAAATAGATTATGTATTAGTACATTGTTTGCCATTTATTTAAAATAAGTAACAGGTTTTAACAATACATTAACAGTATTTAAGGAAAAAAAGTCACAGAAAATACATTTTAAAAATCAATGAGAGGAACCAGTAGGCAAACACAGAAACATTACAAAGAGGCAAAAAAACACACACAAAAAAAACGAACAAAACACTAAAACCAGCCAAAATGTCACATCAGCAACCAGGCCAGAGATTAAGTCTGGGTCTGAGAGGAAAACATTGAGAACCAATGGATGAAAAATCCTTGATAGAGGAAAAAAAAAAAAAACACTGCCAAAATATCCCAAACCTGCTTTTGAATGATCTGGCCTGAGAGGAAGTCCAGATCTGAGAGGACATAATCACGAGAACCAATGGGTGAAGAAATGTAGGAAGAGGCAAAAAACAGCCAATACGTCCCACATCAGCTTTTGACAGATCTGGTCTGAGAGGAAATCCAGGTCTGAGAGTAAAGAAAATAAAGCACATTGCAAAAAGTGATCACATACTCTGCAAACACTTTTAAAAGAAACATAAAATGATCATGTTAATGTACTTAACTAATCTTAATTCTTTTGTCACTTAAAAAACAACACCACGATCGTAACATTAATTCACAAGACCACCGTGGATGAATCAATGTCTTCTAAATCTGAAGCCAAACGATAGATGTGTGTAATAAAAATATTAATCGTTTTAACTCATTTTATTTTTGTGTAAGAAAAACAAAAATAAAATAAATACTAAATGAACTATAAATCATTACTTACGATCTACTGTCATTAGAGTGTTCACCAGGGACATGGTGACGTGACAGAGAATTGTGAAGGTCATGTGTCGGTCATCCTTGCTTCTGGAATATCAAATGCAAAAATGGTAACGTTACTGCATGATTGTGCACAAAGTTTGCAAGTAAGTTATACATGGCGTGAAACTCACCAAAGATTAGGGCAAACTGTCTCAGTAAAACATTTACATCAAGTGAAGGATTCCTAGGAAAAAAAGAAGAAAATAATTATTTCGAAATCTTTAACCAAGCAAAGAAAATCGACGTCAGAGTGCGGAGAACATTGAATAGTGAAATGCCTCAGCTGTTGATAACTGTCTGTCTGCAAAAACGTGTTTCGCGCCGCAAAGAATATCCGTCTCTGCCTCGTCTTTCAAACACAACCTCTTTGACTTAATACTATAACGTTAGGCCTAACTTACATGTGAATCTCACAAAAACGCAGGTACTTGCATCACTAAATCGAAAAAAAAAAATACATATCTAATTCGCTTTGGGAATTTTAATATTATTTGCATGGAAACTAAACAAATTGACCACTACATTTTAATTACAACATTGGATCTGGATATGTCGAGTTGTTTTGTAATTATTCTCCATCTTATGTGCATGATATTATGCGAATTGATGCATCTGGTAAGATTCGCACCGTGTAACGTTACTGAATCACAAATTCATATAAATCGAGTTAAGGGTTAGGCTACTACAAAAGAAAGCCCAACTAATTTCTAAATGGTAACAACTTTAGCCAAGCAAAGAATTCACATTAATAATCGCATAGATTTAGTAATCGGAGCTCAGAGAGCATTCATCAGCAGCTAGGCGAAATGTCTCAACCGTCGAGCTCTGTCTTCAAAACGCGATTCGCGCTCAGTAAGCAGTTAAAAAAAATACCTCATGAAAAAGGCGATTTTACAGGTTGGGACTCTGGAGCAACATAATAGAATAACAGCAAAGAAATAAACTTACCTTGAACAGTGGCCTTCTTTAAGACAGCAGGAGTGTTGCGAAACCATTTTGTTCTTTGACTGCTTTCTGTTCGAAAAGAGACCGCGTTGAAGATGCCCCGCTTCCAAGACTGTTTTTTCCAGGAACAAATTGGTTTACACATAAATGCTGTAAATTTACAGCAAGCAATTAATTTATGTAACATAGACTGTAAATTTACAGGATAAAACTGTTTATTGAAATAACAGTATTTTACTGTTGGAAATTGGCTGTATTTTTACAGCAATTTTTAACAGTGTAGTGATTCAGAATAAGTCAAAAACACGGTTTGGAAAATGGATTCATGATGTAGCCTACTCGTTCATTTTGAACATAAGTTACGGACTGCAGCAGCTGATACAACGGCGTTCCGTTGCTCAAGCGTCCACTCGCACAAATGCGACCACATAAAATTTTAACTCGCACATTCTCAAAAAATGGTCGCATATGCGACCAATTTGGTCGCAGTCTGGAACCCTGGAGACATTACGTCAGTGGAAGGTTTTGTGTGTGTGTGTGTGTGTGTGTGTGTGTGTGTTTGTGTGTGCTCTATTCACATCACACATCAAATTGTCCCTCTCTTTCTCTCCTCCAGGATTCTCCTGACAGTTGTGGTGATATTCCGTATCCTGATTGTGGCCATTGTTGGTGAAACAGTGTATGAGGATGAGCAGACCATGTTTATCTGCAACACCCTCCAACCTGGGTGCAACCAGGCCTGCTACGACAAGGCCTTCCCCATCTCCCACATCCGATACTGGGTCTTCCAGATCATCCTTGTTTGCACGCCCAGCTTGTGCTTCATCACCTATTCAGTGCACCAGTCGGCCAAACAGCGTGACCGTCGCTACTCCTTCCTCTACCCAATCATGGAGAAGGACTACAGTCGTGAGGGTACCCGCAAACTACGCAACATTAATGGTATTTTGGTGCAGCATTCTGACAGTGGTGGCGGAAAGGACGAAGCTGATTGCTTAGAGGTAAAGGAGATCCCGAATGCTCCAAGAGGCCTCCTGCATGGCAGGAGCTCCAAGGTACGCCGACAAGAGGGAATCTCTCGCTTTTACATAATCCAGGTGGTTTTCCGCAATGCACTTGAGATAGGCTTCTTGGCGGGGCAGTACTTTTTATATGGCTTCAGTGTTCCTGGCATTTTCGAGTGTGACCGCTACCCCTGCCTGAAGGAGGTGGAGTGCTACGTATCACGGCCCACTGAGAAGACGGTCTTCCTAGTGTTCATGTTTGCAGTGAGTGGGATCTGCGTCGTGCTCAACCTTGCCGAGCTCAACCACCTCGGCTGGAGGAAAATTAAGGCTGCCATTCGAGGTGTGCAAGCCCGCAGGAAGTCCATCTGTGAGATCCGTAAAAAGGACATGGCCCACCTGTCACAACCGCCAAACCTGGGCAGGACCCAGTCCAGTGAGTCTGCTTATGTCTGATCTCCATTCATCCAAATATGGCGTCACAAGGAGTCGAGTGGAGAGTGGAATGCTAAAATTACAAGGCGCTTATGGTACTTGTGCAAATGTTTATAATGGCGAAGAGGGAGTGGCTCCACATAGCCACACCCCTTTCCCTCCCTGTTTATTGCGTATGACAATGTTTGAGGAAGTTTGCACGATGTAAGGCTTCTGGAACAGCACGTGAAGATGAGGCATGGAGGAATTTGAAAGTCTCAAACTGTGCACAAGCATCGGTGGAAGGGTGAAGAGCGTGAGGTATGATACTAGAACTGAAGGACGTCAAAGACAGAATGTTATGGAAACAAACGAATCTGGGATTGTTTTCCCACTTTTCTCACTCTCAGATCTTGAGGAAAGAGGAATGACCAAGAAGGATACTTAGCAGGAGAGCTTAGCATGACTATAACCTCCCACTTTTTCTCAACCGTTGTCACTGAGATGGTGCCAGAAGAGGAATACTGTTTAGGTTTGCTCTCCTGGCAGTGAATCGGCCTAAAACAAACAACAGGTGAGATATAAACATTGTTACAGCAGTGGCACCTTCACTTTGATGTATGATTGAACAAACATTAGCATCGTTTTTGTAATCTCTCTCTGGTTGTCGTACGAGACTAGGAGATGATTATTACCTCTGCGCAAATTGTGCCCTTCCACAAAGACTCTTACGTGTTCCAGTCAAGTATTCCTCTCTCTTGTGGTGCATGAATGTGTGTTTATATGGATGTATGTGACCAAAGTTGAAAGAATTTAGAGACTGCAGATTCCTTTTTATTCATTTTATTATGATACGTTTTTTTTTTTGTAAAAAGGTTGGTGCCATCAACGTAAATGACTGTTTGTTTGTTTTCAGATCATTATTTAAAATATATAGTTAAAAGATTATTACAAAGTTAGATTATTTATGTTTATTGGGAAACGGAGCCAACCCTGCTAAAAGGATTTCCATGCTGGTCCAAGGGTGGTTTATGTTGATTATTGCTGGTGGAGCAGCATAGCCACGGTCTGTGTCTGAAATCGAATACTTCACCACTATATAGTATGCCAAAAACAGTATGCCAAAAGAGTAGTATGTATGATGAATGAAGTGCGCATTCGATGGACACTTTAAGGCCACAAAAGAGGATTTATGAATGGCAGTGAAGCGACGCAACTGTCGTAGGTCACGTGACAGTAACAATGGCGGATGTAGCACGTCAGAATTTCATTCATACTACACACATTCATACTATATAGAACGCACTTTTTATCGGTCGCAAAGTGAATCCAAATTCAAATGTAGTACCTACTCACAGTATGCGATTTTAGACGCACCAATGCTGTTCACCGGAACAGAAATATGCTTGGTAACCAGCATGGTCTTTCTGGTGAATGTGATTAACAAAGGAAATCTTGTTTGTTATGATAATGTATATGCTTGGTGGGGACACCCGTACAAATGATTGAAAAAACAAAATGTGTCCGGATGTTTCTATCAGACAAATTATTATCAGAAAGCATAAAGGTATCTTTCAAAGGCATGTTTACAAAGCTTTATCTGTCAAATGACTTTTGAAATGAAAATCGATGTTCAGTGTGTGTTATTAAGAAAAAGGAATAATTTAGTGTTTTATTAGCTTTTTCTTCTTGTCACGTGTTTATCAGCATGCCTTTATTAGTAAGAAAAGACGAAGCGTAGAAAAAATATATATGTTTGCATTGCACTTTGTGGGATGGGAAGAGTGGATAAAAGGAGAAATTCACCACTGTGGGAAGGACATTAGTGCTGGGAAAGTGAGCCTTTTGAATTGGTCCATCCTAAATAAGATCAATGATGAGTATGTGCGTGTATGTAGCTGTGATCCCCTGTGTGCCTTTGTTTACACAGTGTGGGATAATTAAAGCAGGGTGTACCGTCTCTTAACAAAAGACACAAATTACATTGAGTTGTCATTCAGCCAATATTAGCAGCAGCTTAGGCCCACTAAAGAAAGCACTTGTGCCTACACCGCCCTGACTAACCTCAGCACGTGCACATAAAAAACAAGCCAGTGTAGACAGAACACAGTCAACTAACACAGGCCAGCTCGCTGACATACCGCAGACGCAGAAAACACTGACAGAGAGAAAGAGAGGAAACTGCAGAGTTAATAGCAACACAATGTGTCCAGACTTAGGCATGTCTTATAGAAAGTCGTTCACAGGAAAGTGTGTGTTTATGTTTAGCTGGACAGTTCAGCCACAGTTCTGATTCAGGCCAGAAGTCAGCGTGAGCATGGATATTGTCGTTCACATCTAAATTGAATGAGAGGTATAAAATGGGTCACGTTTATGAGGCCTCGCATTTGTTTTACTGTGAATGTAAGCAACTCGTAAATGATCCGTAAAACCTCAGAAGCAAATGCAGACTTTTCTGTACATGCAACTCTGTTGCTTCCAAGATGAGAACCAGGATTTCTATGCTTACATTTACACCCAGGGTGCTAAATTAACTCGCATCAAGCGGCAAATGCAATTGGCAAGCACATAAATGAAGCTGCTTGCCAGTTTATTAGGAACTGTAAAAGACTGCAATAATCTGAACCTTGATGAAGTGATGATGCAATTTAAAGACATCTTTAAAAAAAAACTAAAACAAACAAACAACACCGGCATTTGCCAGCATGACGAAAAGTTAATTTTGGATGTCGTGTATGCACTCTAAAAAAATGATTTATTAAACAGTATTTTTGCAGCATACAACTCAATCTTTTTGAAAAAGGTTTGGAGAAAATGCTAGTGAATATAAAAAGATGTATTCTCTGACGTCTGCTTATATTAACCAAATTCGGTTTGGTAAATTAATCTTGTTTTAAGGAGGCTAATATGAAAAACATTATTTTTGCAGTGCATCTATCTAGGAAGAAACTCATTTTAATCAGAACAAAAAACACTGTGCAATGGCTGAACGAAAGGTTTCAATTTGATTGTATCCTCTGCAGATTTAATAATCGGGACCAGTTTGACATGTAAATTATATAGCCATTATTGTGTGGGGTAAAAAGGAAATGCATCCCTTCTCTTGGGACCAAGCACATCCTATATCTGTCTCTTTTTAGTACGCTGTACCTTCTCCTGAAAATCCCAGTTCTTTTATCCTGATCTAAGGATATAGTATCTCTACCAAAATCATAACCTCTGTAACTATGCAGCGTCAAAGGGCACCTTTTACAAGCGTATTATTTTCAAGTGCAGTTCAGAGATTATGAAGATTGATTCCCCAAGTGAGAACTTCTTCATGTGCTTGCATTAATCCACTCTTCTCCTCAGTCTATTTTCAGAAATCCTATATCCAAGTTTAAATACTAGACGAAAAAAGAACAATGTCCAATTTTTGTTTCTTCTTTTTATTTATTCCAGCTTGTGAATTATGTCTATGTGTGTTACTCTTTTATACCGTGCTGTAATATGAGGGTTTACCGCAGGGGGTATTTAAAGACCAGAATTATGAAGTAAAAATGTGGCTTTACTTGCCAAAGTTATATGCAACTTCATAACGAAGTGGGTTTCAGTGAATGGGTTGTTTACTGTAAAGCATGAATGACTGATATGGAAAGCATGTTTTTATTCTTCTTTTCCCTCTCTTTTTTATGAAACACAAAAGCAGGGACAAGTAAACAGCATGGTTAGATTAGAAAACTGGTCAAAGTGGCAAATTCTTGAGGTTTTAATGGGCCAAAATTGAATCAAAAGACTGTAGCAGGTTTTTTACTCTTGTTACAAACGTATGCAACACTTCATTTTCAGCACAAACTTTTGACGTGAGGGACGTATTTTTAAGGTTACATGCACCCCGTAGTCACTGCCAGATGATTTTGTAGAAAATTTTCACTAACAAAAGGTTTTATGGAGACATAATTGATGTGCAAGTATCCAGCCTGCTGTTTAATTGACTATATGACGTTAATCTACTGCCAGTGAGATGAAGATATTAATACAGTCATAATGGCAATTAAACTCCCAGAAAAACACAGTGGACCAGTGCAAAATGTCTCAGGTGTCAGATTTTTTTTTTTTAAATTACCTTTTCAAATGACATGTTTTAAGTGTTTCTACAATTACTGTTTTGTGTATGGTATCTTTGCAAAAGCCAGTTAAAAGTTTGCCCATGTTTTATAGGGTTCTAAAACTAATTTGATAACAGTGAATATTTTACGAACATGTTTATCAGGATGTATACATTACAGGAAAATCTGAATAATATCAAAATATTGTTGATTCAGGAACGTGTCTTACTTGGCAAAATCATGGTGACCGAAGCAACTAACCCTGGTTGTACGACAAAACTTCACATAAACTGTAAACTCAAATCTGATTGGTTGATTTCAATGTTGTACTTGGTAAAATCACATTCACCCTACCGAGATATACATATTAAGTAATGAATACAACATTCCCGCTTAGCTCAGGAAAAAGAATCATTCTAATCTCATTCTAATCCCTTTCGAATGATCATCAAATGTCACAGAATGCTCTCTGAGCGACTGCCAGAAATCACGGCGCCCACAGTCACCAGAGCCTGTGTCCCAACCACACTTTTACCAACCCAGGTTTTCCTCTAAATCCCTGACTCATGACGAATCCCTCATTTCGGCATGGACAGTTAAATGAGATTATGCATTTAATCTGTTTTCCTTCACTGCTGTATTCCCAAAAAGCCATTCTTTAGTTTTAACCCTCATATAGGGTAAGCTTTTCCTTCCTCTTTAAGTACAAAACTGGTCTAGGATGATAGTTAAGGGGAGCTTCAAGCGATTACAACTCCACGTGTGCTGCCAGGGCTGTTTGACACCCGCTGCACAAGCCGTACTAATCTCTCAGGAATAAGAAGAGTCGCGGCTCCTAATCCCGGCTAGCTGCTTACATGGACGTATAAACACAGGATTAGCATTTGGCAAAGGCAAAAGGGCGGGCGAGCCATCCATCCCTCGTACCTGCACCATCACAGGACAAACCACATCAACACACGCAGCTGTAACTCAGGATCTGTGCAAAGGCACCAATCCTATAAGCAACGTTTATACACAGAGCAGCATGAGAAATCAGGGCCCCTTCTGCTGACAAGGGAAAGATTATTACAGGACAACTTTTCA